CTTTGTTAGGGTTGTTATGTAAATATTCAGCACCTTTAGCATGTTGCCTTTTTTTTATATATATATTTTATTGATTTTTTACAGAGAGGAAGGGAGAGGGATAGTTAGAAACATCGATGAGAGAGAAACATCGATAAGCTGCCTCCTGCACACCTCCTACTGGGGATGTGCCCGCAACCAAAGTACATGCCCTTGACCGGAATCGAACCTGGGACCCTTCAGTTTGCAGGCCAATGCTCTATCCACTGAGCCAAACCAGTTAGGGCTAGCATGTTGTCTTTTATATCAAGGATATTTTACTGTTAGATTGGCTTTTAAATTTTTATTTTTTATTACACAAATTTACATAAGTAATTTACTTGCCCATTTCTGTCTGGTTTGTGACAGAACTTTAAGTGATCAGCACCAGGTATCAGACTATCAAGTTTTGTATCACTTCTAACTTTACTTAATGCTGCCTCAATGCTGATCCTGTAGACCTGAGAATTTGCCTTTGTAGGGACGTAACTCCTCTATTTTCTGGTGCCAAAAGCTCTGTTGATATCCTCTTCTTGGTTTTTTCCCCCCCTTTATTTTTCCTTAAAATTTTAACTTTTGAAAAGGTAACATGTACATAACACAAAATTCAAGAAGGACAACCAAGAGCTTGCTGAAACTCTCTTATCTCTGACTCAGCCATCTCATTCCTCTCTCTTCAGAGGCCACCAGTATTTTCTGTTTTTTTATCTTTTCAGAGATATTCTGCGTATATGCAAGCAAATAAGTGTGCATGTGTCTGTATATGGATATTTGTATACACACATATCCATTCTTCCTGTTCTTCGCATATACATACGTGAGCATATTCTACACACCAATTTGAGTATTCTTGTAAATTGCTTCTTTGACTTACTGTGTCTTAGAGATCATGCTATATTAGCAGATAAAGAACTTCTTTATCCTTTTTGTATTTTGGGTTTCTTTTTTAAGTTTAATAATCTGTAAGTAAATGTATAAAGGCACTTTAGACCCCAAGTTCTTCATCATTGTTTTATAGCTGCATGGTAACCCACTGTGGCTGATCCGTCATTTATGGACCCATCCTTTGTGGTGGGCTCCCCCTCCTTCCTGTGTACCAGTGATTTTTCATTGAGAATGTTGTGAAATTTCTGACAGTGTTGTCTCAACTCATCACTGAATTTTTACCAGAGTCCTCCTTTTCATGTTGCCAATATTGGTCCTTTGTATAGAAACTGAGAAATGATCTCCTGAACATCATCCGTGAAAAGAACTTGGCCCACCCTGTTATCCAGAACTTTTCCTATGAGACCTTCCAACAGAAGATGCTGCGCTTCCTGGAGAGTCACCTGGATGATGCAGAACCCTACCTCCTCACGGTGGGCCTCGGCCTTCTCTTCCCGTAACCATGATTGGCCTTGAGGATGTGCAGGCAATTAGAAAAGGACAACTTTGTTAGAAGTGAAAAAATAAATGTGTGGAAAAGACTTTGAATTATATCCACCATCTTCCTTAATTAATTAAATGCCGTAAATATACAGAAGCAGAGATCCTGACAGAGGCAAATGAAACAAAGATTGTCTCTCTTACCTCCCATTTTTACCTCCTCTACATGTCATTAATCTGTGTGGTTGCTACAGGAGAAAATTCATCTTACAGTCGATGGTGGTTCCCAGAGGAGATGAAGTCTGAGTTAAATTGGGAGGAAGAGTGGTTTATTAGATGTGGTATGATGGGGTTGTTAACAGGAAGAAGGCATAATTGGAGAAAAGGTGTGATTAGAAGTATAAGGCAAAAGAAGCCAAATGAAGACATTCTTTAATTGGATCAAAGAGATCAGCATAAAGAAGGGAAACAGTGAGGCTCAACACTGTTTGTAGAAGAATTAGAACCCAGTCTCTCCTAGTTTTCTTAAACTAGGATTTTGAGAGTGTTGAAAATATGGCTCATAACTGTAGGTGTGCAAGACCTATATTAGGATAGTGTCAATGATCCTAGCAGTCATTTGGCAAATCTCAAATTACTTGTAAAGCAAATTGTCTGGAATAATCCAGGAGCAAGTGTCAGTATACTTGGGCCTGGCCTAGGATCCTTTCCTTTGTGTTCCAGGTAACTGGAAAATACCTACCACTTTCTTTGTGAGGATAGAGTTCGCAGCTCATAAGACATCACTTGTCATTCGGCAAATTTGAGATTTGGCGAATCTCAAATTATTTATAAAGCAGACCATTTGGAATAATCCAGGAGCAAGTGTCAGGATATTAGGAACACTTATTAGTGTGTTCAGACTTGTGAATCAGATTCCCAAGAAGAGGAATGTGAAGTAAAACCACGTAATTAAAGAATTTTTTCAATTCTTTGAAAAAGCAGTACTCAAACTGAGTTCTCCTTCAGCATAGAAACTATGAGCCATTGTTTGAAAAAGAAAAGGAAGAAATTTGAGATCATTCTTGTAAGTTCTCTTGCTTTTTATGTCCTAGTTTATGCCTAGATTGGGTTTGTAGGTGAACATGTTTGCATATTGAGTATGGTCATGGTTAAAGAAGCAGAGAATTAATGAAATTCTGTGGCTTCCTCTTCCTGATGACATCCTTCCTTTCCCAGATGGCCAAAAAGGCTTTGAAATCTGAGTCTTCTGCCTCAGCTACAGTGAAGGAAGATAAACAGCCAGCACCAGAGCCTGTGGAAAAGCCACCCAGAGAACCTCCGAGGTGAGAGATGCCCTTCTAACTTGTTACTGGGTTGCTCATACACGGCACTGTGGAGGTGCAGAGCACACCTGGGAAAATGAGGGTACTGGAAACTGGATGTCGGATCCCTGACAGAAATTCCTGACTGCCCATCCCTCAAAAGTTCCGTCCTCCTGTTGCTCTTTGCCTTGCCCATATTTATTCAGCACTTCCTTGTTGATATCTGATCTGTTAATAGAGTGTTCAGACTGTGAATCAGATTCCCAAGACCAGTTGTGAAAGCAGGGGGCTCACAAATTTAGATGCCTTTGGGGGCCTGGTGGGAAAGGTAAAGGAATGAAGTGGGTCTAGGGTAACTGAGAGCATGGACAGTGACCAGGAGGGCATGCTTTTCAGCCTGTGTGATTGTTGCTGTCCAAGGATGCCCAAGCTTCAGTTCAAATTTTTGTGTGAGATAATTTTTTATTTTTATTTAGTTTTCTCAATTTTTGAATGTTGGTAGTTATCCAGTTTTTAAAAAACACTTGCGTAGGTTAGGCAAAGACACCTGCCAGCTGGGTTTGGCCTACAGGCTGCCAGTTTGCCCTCGCCTAACAGTCTTTACTTAAAGCACACTAGCTATTCCAAACGACAGATGAACTTCTCTTGAAAAGTCAGTTTCTTCTTGTTCCAAAACTGTGTGGCACGCTTCTTATTCTGAGAATTCTCAAGGTCCCATTCACAAGTGTATTGTAGGAGAAAATGGGCAGAATGGAGACCAGTCTTTCACTTTTGCCACACGAGGGTCGACTTGGACAGCTGGAAGGAGAGTTTAGACTTCAGAGTGAAATTGCTGGATTATTAGTAGGTTGTCCAGATGGACTTATATTTGTCAGACACTGTGTAAAGTTCTTACATAATGGAAAACACTGCTGTAGTCCATACAGACACACAGGTTCGATCACACACAAGTTACAGAGGTCTCTGGAGTATCCGTGGCCCTAGTTCCTTTAAGGGTCTCTGATTTGGAGTTTAAAACCCATAGTTTAACTTAAATAGAAGCTTTTGTAAAGTAAGGTTATCTCTCTCTCTCTCTCTGTCTCTGTGTGTGTGTTTTTTTTTATTTGTTTGTTTTTTATTAAAAGTCCTCAATTTGAGGAGTCCTCTGCTAATATGAGCATCAACAGTGGTGAAACTGCCCTGGCCAGTTTGGCTCCATGGTTAGAGAGTGTGGACTGAAGGGTCTCAGGTTTAGTTCCTGGTCAAGGGCACATACCTGGTTTCAGGTAGTAGGGGTGTGTGGAGAAGGCAGCCAATCGATGAGTCTTTCCCCTATCGATGTTTCTCTCTTATCACCCCCTTCCTCCCTCCCTTCCACTCTCTCTAGAAATCAATGCAGAAAAATACCCTTAGGTAAGATTATTTTAAAAAGTGGTGAAACTGATCTTAGTATGTTGCCTTATTTGTAGGCAACTACGGAATACTCCAACCACCTTTGGAATTATGACTCTGAAAGCAGCTTTCAAGACTCTGTGCGGTTCACAAGATTCTGAGGCGATCTTCTCAAAACTGGACCAGAAAGATCTGGTACTTCCTACTAAAGCATCCCTGTCGTCGCCGGCCCTCAAAAACAAGAGACCGAGAAAGGATGAAAACGAAGGTTCAGCTCCTGCTGAGGGAGAGAGTGGCTCTGAACTGCAGCCCAAGAACAAGCGTATGACAATTAGCAGATTGGTTTTGGAGGAGGATAGTCAGAGTACTGAGCTGAGCCCAAGCCTCAACTCCTCTCAGGAAATCATTCCAGCGTCACCGTCCACGCCTGCCGTTCTCAACCAACCCCTTCCCAGGGAGAAGAGTCCCAAGTATGAAGACCTTCTTTGTAGGAGTTGGGGGCTGGTTGGTGGTCCTGGTTGGGCCTGGTATTGCTTCTGTGAATGAAGTAACTTGCATCTAAGCTGTTCACCACCAAGGCTTGCTCAGACTGCTAGAATGTGACTCGGGAATGGGGAGAGACAACATAGCATCCGTGCCAGTTCTGAAGCCCCACCCGGGGCCTCCAGGCATTGCACGAGGGCATGAGGATGAAAGGGTGTCGGAGCCTCCTGCTCATTGCTGCTTCCATTTTTTGCAGACTGCTGAGTACCTTGACTACTAACTAGAGATTTATGAGTATTTACAGTTTTGCACCTTCTATGAGCTTTTGAGACTTGGCAAATTCAGTAAATATTTACTAACCTCTCACATTGTGCTAGGTTCTGTGGAGCAGTGGTTAGAATGCTTTCATTTTGCTCCCCTATCATGACCCCTGACCTCTCTCTCAAGTTTTGTTACCCTTTGTGTCCTCTCATGGATCCTTCCTCCAGGCACACTGGTCTGCTTGCTCTCTGTGGAACACACTGTTTTGTTTCTATTACTGTATTCTTGCTCCCTGTCATTCCTCATGATTGGACTATCATCCCTCCATCACTGCTTGTCAGAATCCCATCCGTCCTTTAAAGGGAAGAGAAGCACCTTTTGTGGGCCAAGTACATTTATGTATTATATTACTGAATCTCTACAATCTTCAGTTACTGATTGTTAGCCCCATTTTATAAATGAGGAAGGTTCAGAAAAGTTGCTAACTGGCCTTAAGTCATTAATCCAGGTCAGTCTAGACTCAAGGGCCCATGGCCTGTACACTACACATCAGCCGCCTCTTAAAAATTCTGCCTCCTCCATGAACCTCCTGGTCACCCTGCTGTAGGTGACCTTGATGGTCTCCCCAGGCCATTGCCATCTGTACTACTGCTCTTTGTTGTAGTTGTTTGGGGACCTGTGCTCTGGCAGCATGTGCTAGGTGTCCTGCGGGGCTGTGGCATCTGATAGGTGAGTCATACTCAGGCACTAAGCTGCACTATATGCACCAATACCAGCATTTGGAAGTGAGTGAGTCACGGCTGGGCAAGTAGATGCAGCTCAACACACTTATTTTCGTTCTAGACCTGATCTCAGTGACTTCTTACAGTGATCTCGTGAGGTGTAGATATTGCCCCATGAACAGATGAGAAAACTGGCAAGAGTGCCTGACCACAATAATTTTATTAATGGGAGGATTTGTGAAGGTTTCAGACATAACCATCTCTCTCATGTGCCGAGGGTATGATATGAAAGCAGAGGTTGGCACATTACAGTCCCTGAGCCCAATCTGCCTGCTGTCTGTTTTTTGTAAAGGATTATTAGAATACAGCCACATCTATCATTTATGTATTGTCTGGCTGAGTTGTCTAAGGCTACTTTTGATGCTACATTGAGTTGAGTAGTTGCAACAAAGACATTAAGGCCTGCAAAGCCGAAGATCCTATCTGGCCTTTTACAAAAAAGGGATCCCTGTCCACGGAAGAGCTGAGCCTGCTCAGCAGGGTTGGTGGAGCAAACCTTGCAGAGGAGCAAATGTTGAGCTGGCCTTGAAAGATGACCTCTTACTCAAGAGGTCATCAAGCATATTGGGGACCTGGGGATTCTAGGCAGCAGGAACCCCTTGCATAAAGGCATGAGAATACCTGGTATGTTCCCAAAAATGTCATGTAGTCTGTATGGCAGGGGAATACAACGCACATGGAGGGAGAAAGTAGAAAAGTCTGGATAGGTAAATGGGCCAGAACTTGAATTCCTATTGTATTCTATCGGGTGGAGGTTCTCAAACTGGGCTTCATATCACAATTACCTATGGAATGTTTAAAAAATACATATTCCCAGGCACCCTCCTACTGAATTAGAAGGGGCTGGGGAATGCTCTGTAATCAGCTTTTCTAACTATGTCCAAATAATTCTAACCCCACTAATCTGAAGGTTTCATAGATACCAGTGAGGGTTCGGAAGAGGTACTGAGGGAAAGGAGAGTGGCTAGACACTGCTGCCAGGCGAGCGAGCAGTTAGGGCCTGGAGGAGCTGGGCCAGTGGAAGAGAGGAAGGCAGGATTAAGGTTTATCACCTAGAGGGCAGGGCCATGACTTACTAGGTTTTTATATGCCCCCCCCCCCCACTTGGCATGAGCAAGTACTAGGTGTTTATTAACCAAATAAAAATAATTACTGGTTTTTGCAATTTAAAGGATCACATGCAAAACTTATAAAGTCCAGCAAAAGGTTAACATTTTAGGTTTTGTGGGACCATGTGTGTGTGTGTGTGTGGGGGGGGTGTATTTTTTGTTTTGTTTCCTTACAATGCTTTGAAAATTTAAAATCCATTCTTAGTTCAAGGGCTGTTCAAAATCCAGGAGCCACAGGCTATCCTGACTTTCCCGGGAGCACACAGCCACTAATAGGATGAAAATCCAGATCTCAGCCCCTTTCACAACACGAGAAATTATCAAGTACCAAACCATTTGTACACGTAATAAATGCCAAGTTGAGAGTAGGTGCAGGGGGTTACCACTGAACTGCAAAAACTATCTGCAGAAAGAGTGAACAGCTACTCAGGTGAAAATGACAGACCCAGAGGTGAAAATTTTAGCCTAGCACTAAAGATAGAAAACTTAAGCTGTCTGACTTTTATTTACAAGTAGTAATTAACAGCTAATACCCTGAGAAGGAAAAATATCCTTTACTTTGTCTCAAATTAGTTATTCTCAGAAATAACATTTTGGGGGATATGATCCAATTAAAAAACAAAGGAAAGTAAATAGTCAATTAGGTAATTCCATAGAAAAACTCATGGAACTCAAGGAGTTTTTTTCAAACTTATGCACTTATTAAGCAAACTGCTTTCATTACTCATTTGCAAAATAACCAGACAGCCTTAAAAATATGTATTTTGAGGGTGGCGGTGATGTATTCAGTGCTGTCTGAGGAGTGGTTCTACAGCCTGATGATGACGCGGAGATACCAGGCCAGGTTAGGATTTAGGAGTTGTATGTAGGTGAATCTCGAATGTGGTCACAGCAGAGCAAGGGGAAATATAAGACTGCAAGTGAGCCAAGGACAGAATATGAATGGCCCAGGGTGAATGTTTTACACCTTGTCTCTCATTGATCTCTCCGCAGATTACCCAAAGGCAAGTGGAACAGTTCTAATGGGGTTGAAGAAAAAGAGACTTGGGTGGAAGAGGACGAACTGTTTGATGTTCAGGGTAAGCTAGGAGATTCTCCTTGGTTTCTCCTTGACACCTGCAAGTGTAAGATGCATGTTACTGTCACATCAGTGTTTCAGAAACTGCTTGTCTCCCAACTAGAAAAATTTCAGGAAGTTCCTCATTGTGTCTCAGGAGTCAATTATATGTCCTTTCCCATTAAATAATGGAGATTGTCAAAGCAGAACTTTGTATTTAATGAAAATTCCTGGTTTTGTTTTAATAAATCCTATCTTTAATTGTAATTGATGTTCTCCCTAAGTCTTTTAATTAGAAAAGGTAGAAGTGGTCATTCCCTGCATTTTTGTTTAGGTACAAAATCTCTTACCAGTTTCTACATGTTTTCTAAGATAAGAAACTTTGCTTTTCAATAATTATTATTGAACTTCCTAGCATTTGCATTAGAATCTCTCCTACCACATATTTCATATGCTAATGGAAATATCTAAAACCTAAACCTGAATTTTGGAGATTCTTTTTTTTTTAGGGGGGCAGAGAGTTAGGAACATCGATGAGAGAGAAACATCGACCAGCCGCCTCCTGCACACTCCCCACTGGGATGTGCACGCAACCTAGGTACATGCTCTTGACCGAAACAAACCTGGGACCTTTCAGTCCACAGGCCGACACTCTATCCACTGAGCCAAAGCTGAGCCAAACCGGTTAGGGCGTGAATTTTGGAGATTCTAAGCACTTTTTTTAAAAAATATATTTTATTGATTTTTTACAGAGAGGACGGGAGAGGGATAGACAGTTAGAAATATCGATGAGAGAGAGCATCGACCAGCTGCCTCCTGCACACCCCCCACTGAGGATGTGCATGCAACCAAGATACATGCCCTTGACTGGAATCGAACCTGCGACCCTTCAGTCTGCAGGCCGAAGCTCTATCCACTGAGCCAATCCGGCCAGGGCCTAAGCACTTTTATAACGCACCACCACCCAATCCATTGCCACTTCCTAGGTTTTGTCTTTTAAAAGTAGCTTCAGTAGCCCTAACCAGTTTGGCTTGGTAGATAGAGTGGACTCAAGGGTCCCGGGTTTGATTCTGGTCAGGGGCATATACCTTGGTTGCGGGCACATCCCCAATGCGGGGTGTGCAGGAGGCAGCTGATCGATGTTTCTCTCTCATCGATGTTTCTAACTCTCTGTCCCTCTCCCCTCCTCTCTGTAAAAAATTAATTTAAAAAAAAGTAGCTTCAGTAGCAAAAACATAGTTGGCAAGATCAAGATTACAGGGAAAATGGGGGAAGAAACAAAATGATTAACAGTGGCATTAAATAGTTAAGAACAACAGAATATAAAAGTTCTAGGAAACATCCACTTCCAATGCAGTCCAGATGTGTGTCAGCTTTAGAAATATGCTTCCACTATAGTATGAAATACTTCATAATTTAAAAATAATCTGCTCTGAGCCACCTTCCTCCATTTTTTTTAATTAAATCTTTATTGTTAGGACTGTGGCATCTGCTGAGACATCTAGCAAGTTTCATGTTTATGCAACTTTGCCTTTTCTTGCAGCTTTTTAACTAGCTCTGATTGCCTTGAAATGGCATGTCTTTTATACTTGTACGAGAGGCCCGGTGCACAGATTTGTGTACATTGAAAAGAAATTAATTAGAAGGTGGCTGGCGGGGCAGGGTGGACATGCCCTGCAGCCAACCTCCCTTGGTCCCTCCATGGCCGACCACACCTGGGGGGGTGCCAGGGCTCAAAGGGCTTCTGCGGAGTGAGCGGGTGTCCCTCTGGCAGGTGGGATCCCTCGGCCTGGCCTGCGGGGATGGGGCTGAAACCAGCAGTCCCAACATCCCCCAAGGGGTCCCAGAGTGCAAGAGGGCACTCTACAAAGTTGAGTGCCCTCAGCAGCTCCTGCATTTAGCGTCTGCCCCCTGGTGGTCAATGCGTGTCATACCTACCAGCCGGTCAGCCAGTCACTTAGCCTGTAGATTAGAGGCCCAGTGTCCGAAATTCATGCATGAGTGTGGTCTCTAGGCCTGTCTGACGATCGAAGCACGAGCGTCTGGCATGGAAGGGCAGGTCCCAGCTGACCTCTGGGCCCTGGGCAGTACCAGGGCCCCCAGGCGTCCCCTCTGCCAGAGTCATCAGGCCCCCATTTGGCTCCCTCAGTGTCTGGGAGCTAGGCTGCAGCCTGGCCCCCCGGCCACTGGTCGCTGTCTGTGGGGCGATAGGGCCCCGCTTGCACCACTTTGGCCTAGCGCTGCCTGCCCACCTGCTCTGCGGTCCCGCTCTCGTTGGGGCCCATCAGGGCTGGCAGCACCTCCACAGCCACCTGCTGCCAGCACCATGCCGCACCACCCCCTGGTGGTCAGCGCACATCATAGAGAGCGGTTGAGCGGAAAATTTGCATATTAGGCTTTTATTATATAGGATTTTTTTTAAGAGACAGTGGAAGGGAGGGGGAGAGACACACAGAGAGAAACATCTTGATGTGAGAGAGACATTGATTGCATCCCACACATGCCCCAACCAGGGTCAGGGATCAAGCCTGCAACTGAGTGAGGTATGTGCCCTTGACCAGAATGGAACTGGGACCCTTCAGTCTGTGGACCGATGCTCTATCCACTGAGCCAAACCAGCTAGGGCATTACCCTGTTCTTCGATGGTTAGGAGTCCGTCCATGCTTAGCTGGGAACTCTGCTCAGGGTCCTTCAGGCTGATGTCAATGCAGCTGGGCTGTGCCCTCACTTGTAGCTTGGGGTCCTCTTCCAAACTCATTCAGCTTGTTAGCAAAACCCAGTTCCTTGCAGTTGTAGAACTAAGGCCCTCAGCTACTAGAAACTGCCCATCTCCACTGGCAGCTCACAGTAAGGGGCTTCTTCAAGGTCAATGAAAGAGCAGCTCTCTTACTTCAAGTCTCTCGCTTAGAGAAGGCCTGGCGTCTGCCTATCCCTTTGATCCTGTGGATCCTCCATTTTATCATCTTTTCCTCTGATACTAGCTATAAAAACTTTTACATTATGAAAAGGGAATTTTTGTTTTTTGATAACTTGTTGGTAACTGCCACCATTAATTATTTACTAGGTACTATTACTATCCCTGCTTCACAAATTAGAAATGAGAACTTCCTTAGTTCCCAAGCAGTATTAGTTAAATAGATTTGCAATTCAAGACAGCTGGGGAGGGGACAGTTGGGTAGCCTGTGTCCTGCTCAGAGTGAATAAAAAAGCAGCCACAGGAGCAGCA